CACTATAATTTCTATGAGGTAAGCACTCTCTATAAACTCTGGGGCATGTACTGTCTATTCTTTATAACATCTACTATAATCTATAAACTTTAAGGCATGTATAACTATAAACTGTGGCATGTACATGTACTATGTAATCTATAAGGCAAATATATTCTAATCTATGAGGCAATTATAACTATTCTACGAGGCAAATATATTCTAATCTATGAGGCAAATATGTGCTAAGGATGGCCTGTTTAGACTGCTAAGCCAGACCAGACACTTTCTGGCTAGCTACTACAAGCTATGTCCAAACAGAAGAATGGAGCAAAAAGTCTTTCTGCCAAGCTCTGAGCCAGAATGGGCTGAACCAAAGAGCTCGGCCTATAGGGGAATCCCAAGCTAGTACTCTAAAACTTAGCAGAATGGAACAGTCCAACTACAGGGAACAAACAGAGGGGTAAAAACTAGGCTGAGACTTCACAGTAATAATATTACAATATAGTGGTATAGTACAATATGGAAATATAGAATCCTTGTATTGTGCTATGCTGATAGTATTATATATTTTATGTCTATATATAGTAAGCTGCTCTAAGTCTCCTTCGAGGTGAGAAGAGCAATATATATAATACTGATAATAATATTTATCACTATAATATATAATATATAATAATATGATATTATAATTATATATTTCATATTACATGAACCAGCTAGGACATTAAGATCTTCTGGGGAGGCCCTGCTCTCGGTCCCGCCTGCATCACAAGTATGGTTGGCGGGGACGAGAGACGGGGCCTTCTCAGTGGTGGCCCCTCGGCTGTGGAACGCCCTCCCTACAGAAATCAGATRGGCCCCCTCCCTGCTAGCATTTTGGAGGGAATTGAAGACCTGGTTGTTTGAGCAGGCATTTGAATAGGCAGTGTAAGTAATATAGAAATATGGAACAATTGGATGACGAGACTGGATCTTGATTTTAACTATGAGATGTTGATGCTTATTGATTGTGATGAGTGTTTATCCCTTTAGATGCTTCTTACCTGTTTTATCATGTTTTATGTATTGTATTGTGGTTGTGAATTGCTCTGAGTCACCCTGAGGTCTGAGAAGAGCGGTATAAAAATGTAGTAAGTAAGTAAATAAAGAATATATAATACTGATATTGTACCATGCTAATAGTATAATATATTGTATGTCTATATATATCTTGTAAGCTGCTCTGAGTCTCTTTCAGGGTGAGAAGGGCAAAACGGTTCCGGCCCAAGCTACCTATCTGACCGCATCTCTGCCTATGAACCCACCAGGACTTTGAGATC